AAAAAAAAAAAAAAAAAAAAAAAAAAAAAAAAAAAAAAAAAAAAAAAAAAAAAAAAAAAACGTGGCAAAAGAAGTGGTGATAAAACTCCAGAGGTCAACATAGAAGAGAAAGAAGTAATAATTTTCCCTACCTTTGATGAGCACAGTCATCGAAAACAGGAAAGAAAGAAAAAAACAAATAGAAAAAATTTGACGCACTTCAACTTTTTTTTCCCCCTTTTTTCTCTAAATGTTGGCACTGGCTAGTAGATCTCAGCGCTTTGCGTGCATGTTGAAGCAACGCCACAAGATCATAGTAAAGACAGAGTCATCACTACACGCCGCTGAAACCGCCGCCCAAAAGTAGAGAAAGCGGTCAAAGGTTAAAATATTGCTTGTACCATCAGAAAAACAACACGACATCACATGTCGCCATTCTTCTCCACTAACAACAAGGGCATCTTTAGCATTCTCTGGGTGGAACTGAGAGAGAACATGTTCAACATTAACACCCTCTGATTTTGTTGTTGTATTTTCAAGGTTCTTTATCTGATCAAAAAGTTGTCTAACTAATGCCTCCCGATTCCCAGGAAACCTACCACATAGAAGGATTATAAGGTGAAATCGATCTCTAGCCTTAAATCTCAGCCACTCCAACTCTACATCACTTACCAAATCTGGCACACCGGCTTCACGCAATGATGAAATAAAGGTTGTAATCGGAAGAAAACCATCAGGTAAGGAAAGATGCAAACGTGGGAGTGCCAATATACCTCCCGATTTTACAATGTAACGCCTTGTCGCCTCTTCCACTATACCGAATAAAGATTCACCTGCTGGAGAAAAATGACGCACAAATTCTCTCAGAAGAATTTTAACAGAAACCACCTCACGTGGACCTTCTAATCGCAAGTACTGAAAAAGTTGACGAACTTCATCAGTTAATAAACCAACACGTAGACCCTTGCAAAAATCTTCAAAAACTCTAGCTGTTAGACAGCTATTAGCTAACTCTTCTCCAATATCGATAGAAATATCAAATTTATCTCGAGAAATTATATCGCTACAAGATTCTAATTGTACATGATGCAATTGTTCAAGGAGTGCAAGTGTACCAGAATGCGTATCCCCAATCGGATCACCAACAGCTTCAGTGAATACAGACATTAAAAGTGGAAAGTGTACATCAACAGGCAATGGATGTTGATACAAAAGCACACAAAGGTATGCTCCATCAAGAAGAATTGTATCACATGTAGGACCACTACCAGTAGAGCAATATTCGATCAAAAAGAGTGATTCAGAAATGGTAAGATCGAATGTCTCTGTAAGATAATCTATTAGGGGAGCAGTTTCAAAGACACATGCTGTATTTTTTTCTTCCCTTAATTTTGCTAACAATGTTTTACCATAAACAGAATCAGATGGATGGGGTCGTGGCGTTATTCTTTCTATAGTGCGGAGTATTTCACGCAACAAAGAAACTCGCATAGGACATAAATTTCGAAGACAATGTAAAAGTGTTACTGGGCTTACACAAATATCAGTAGATTCACCGACCATCTTGGAATCTTTGTATTCCTCAAGTGGAAGTAAAGTAAGAAGTATTAAAAGTTCCCTGTCACTCACAATATTGGCGGGAATTATTTGTCGTAAAATTCCCTTTAAAAGCCATAGTTCTGTAGGCTTTACACGACTACGCACACGATACTTCGAATCTATCTGCACAAATCCCGGCGAGAGAGTTCGAACAAATGAAGAGGGATCACATTTTACAATACATTGTATAACCTTGTGATACAACCGCAGGAGATACTGTGGGTCCCGCTGCAGCGACTCCGCAGTTGAATCAAGTGCTATCATATGAACTTTAAATCCTACTATTGAATCTTTACTCAGATTGCGTCCACAGTGATTTTTTTTTTTTTTATTTATTTGGTATCGCAAATCAACACCACCACCACCCCCACCCCTCGCACTAATTACTCAGAAATAAAGCAAAGAAATATGGGTAAAAATGGAATGTCCATTCAATACATGTTCTTTCTTACTTTCGCAATAAGGAAAAACGGAGACGGACAGACAGACACAGAGAGAGAAATATAAAAAAAAAAGAACAAATTACCATATGTATATTGTTTATTCCTTCCTTCTTCACTAGACGATGCCCCCGTTGCCCCCCGACCAAAAAAAAACCTTTAAGTACTTATACTTTTTTTTTTTTTTTTTTTTTTTTCGTTTCCTTATCTCTACACTTACTATACAAAAGCTTATTACCTTACTAATTCACTTGGTGAAGGGTGTTTTTTTTTATTTATTTATTTTATTATTTATTTATTTATTTTCTATTTGTTTAGAACTAGGTGCAGTTCAACTTATCGTTGAGAAGTGTTATAGACGCCTGAATCGCAGCTATCTGTTTCTGAACTGCCCGCAGACGAGACTCCTCAAGGACAATTGACGTTTTTAGACGAAACTGCTCACGTGCATTTACCTCCAGAAGGTGTGAAAGATTCTCTCGCACGCTGCCCGACCCAAGCGGGGTCGTGGTCATGCGCAAGAGTTGTTCTTCCACGAGTTGCAGTATCGTATCAGTCGTATTCACGCCGAGTTGGATAGTGTGCGCCTCGCGGTCATCCGCTAGAGGGGGTTTGGCGTATGTCAACATCGTCATTGTTCTTTCGGAATGTGAAAGAAAGAGAGCGAGATAACACAAAACCAACGCACTGATCTATCAACCTTAGTCTTTACACTTGATATCCAATAAAGGCAAAAAAGAGAGCATGATGGATGTGGCGCCAGATGAGAAAAATCACATCAAGATAAAGAATCAACAGAGTACAAATTATTATTATTATTTTTCTTTTTTTGGTTATTATTTTTTTCTCTCCAATATTTTAAAGTTTCTTTCTCGTTAAACTCTTTTCTTAAGGGGATCACCAGTTTTAGTAATTGATTTTGCATGACTTTTTGGAAGTAGAGGGTAGAATGCGCCCGCTAATAAAGCAAAAACCATTGCCGCCCATTCAATAACACTAAAATGTCGGTAATGCCCAAAATACACCACTGATAGCACAAACGTACATAATTTACGCAATGTGAGTATAAGAATCAATGTGAATGCTGAAGTTTTATCATTCAACACATACACCCCCAATACACAAACGAACTGTGTAACTGCATTTAGAAAAAAATGAATAAAATATCCAGGAGATATAGACTCAAATTCTTCAACCAAACGTTGTGGTTGAAAAAAAAAGAGTGGAATAGCTAAAACGTGAGAAAAGAAAAGCGCTTCCGCCCACATAGGGGGAGATGTGGGTATAGATGGTGAAGATGATGATGATGATGATGATGATGATGATGACAACGATGACGTTGATGCTGATGCTGATGCTATTGATGGTGTTGATGCCACTTTTTTTATTGTTGTCGTTGATGCATTACCACTAATCTGATTATCTTTTTCTTTACGTCTGGCAGCCTCGTACATATACTCCTGAAATATGCCCAGACCCGTCGATAAAACAGTTGTAGCCGTCAAAATAAGAAGACCACACACCCACCAAAAATATTCTTCAGTTGTAAGTGTCCCCATAGTAGTAGTAGTAGTAGTAGTAGTAGTAGTAGTGCTCTGCAACTTTCTTGACTTCTCCACAGCAAGAGCAATAAGACCTCCACATATGATAACAGCGCACAATATTTGTGGAAGCGTGTAGTACTTCCCCAAAAAAATATAGCCAGTTAGCATATTCAAGAGTAGTGAAGAAGAACGAAATGTTGCATGGAGAGGTACAGATATATGTAAACCAAATACCATGTTACTGCTCACTGACATGAGCCACGCGGCGGAAGCAAGTATTGACTTATGCAAAAACGAAATACGCATGGGACGCAACCTTACAAGCATCCATCGGTGTTCCTCTTTTGCGATACGTAAAGAAAATATAAAAGGCAAAGATAAGGTCGCAACAACAATATATTGCATAAAGGTCAAGAAATACAAAGTATTGGGAGATCCAACAGTGATGAGTTCTAATAGAAATACATTAGCCTGACATCCGCACAAAACACCACCCAATGCCAAAACAGCTTCGGACATCAGTCAACTACCTTAACGTTATATACATATATATACGCAGAAAAAGAGAGAGAAAGAGAGAAATAGAAATAATAATCAGAAATAAAAACAGATCAAAAAAATATGACGAAAAAACAACTTATATACATATATATATATATATATACATATATTAAACAGGTTTTATATTTTGTGGTCGCACGGATAGGATGGAGTTAGGGTGATAATGACAAGCACAAGAGAGGGAAAAAACACACACACAGAAAAGAGAAGATCAGCATTAAGCTTTTCAATTCCTCTCTTCCTTTTCCTTCTTTTGGTTTTCAGGTATACACGGCTGTCTGAGCATTAATGTATAATCTTCTTATTCTTGACTTCACCGTGGACAATGCATTGTGGACACATGTAGAGGGGAATATATATATATATATATATATATATATATATATATATATATATGAATGCACA